GCCTAAGAGCATGGCTCCCTCCTCCCATGTCATGGAAGCTTCGGGGTCAGTGAGCACATGACCTGTGTCCAGGGATGGAGGAGGCCCTCGGTCCAGCCTGGCCCTTCCAGGGCCCCTTGCCCCCGTGTGGCTGCCAATGCCAGAAAAACTCCTCGCCACATGATTGAACACTGCTCATGCTGAGCATGGTGTAGACCAGACCCCCTGAATACCCAGACCCCCACGCAGAGCCAGGGCCCCCCACCCTCATTTTCCAGACTTGGGATCCAGAGCCTGGGGGTCGGTGGCTGAGAACCTACCTATCTCCTTCCCCAGCAAGGGGCAGGTCCCATGGGGGCAGGGCTCTACCAACCACAGTCCAAACCTCTATCTGTCCCTTTAAACCCCAGCAGGCCAAGCATGGCTGCTGGGGGCGCAGCAGCACCCCAGCTTTCCTCAGCACATTTTTTTCCTAATTCAAATGTTCAGTGGTTTTTTGATGTGTTCACAAGTATGTGTAGTCATCACCACTACCTAATTCCAGAACATTCCATCCCCCAAAAGAAGCCCTGTCCCCATCAGCAGTCACTCCCTCCCAGCCCCTGACAACTAGAACACACTCTCTGTGTCTGTGGATCTGCCTGTTCCGGACGTTTCCCATCAGTGGAATCACACCCTGTGTGTCCTTCTGTGTCCACTTTTCTCTCAGCATCCTGTGGGGCAGGCAAGAGATGCAAACACATCCGTGAAGTATATCGTTTGGGAGAAGCAGGAGTCTGCTCTGGTCTGATGCTTTGTCCAGCATGGCTGGAAAGGTGTGTCTGAGTTGAGTCTTGAGTAGGGGTGGGTGGGCAGGAGTGAGCCAGGAGGAAGGCTGGGAGATGGTGTTCTGGGTGGAGGGGCCTGTTAGGGTGAAGGCCCTGAGTTGGGGGGGAAGGGCTGGTGCTGGGAGGACAGAGGCAGGGGTGACTGGAGGCTCAGGGCACGTCTGAGTTTGGGGCTGGGAGTTGGGGTTGGCAAGGGTGGAACCACGCAGGGTGCTGAACCCACAGTGAGGTGTAGGGACTTGATTCTGTGAGTGATGGGGAGCTGTGGGGGAGGTTTGAGAAGGAACATGATGGAGCTGAGTTGGCATCTGAAGATGCATCTGGGTTTGTGTGTTCTGGGCCTGTCACCCTACATCACACGAACCCGGACAGTCACCCTCCTGGACAGCGCTGTCCTGAGGGCGGGGACCATGTCAGTCCCTTCTCTACCCCCCACCACCAGCATGCACAGAGCTGGGCACTCTGTGGGCCAATGAGGGAAGCAGAGAGATTCCAGCAACAGAACGAGATCTCCAGGGTCCCCACGGGCGCCTGCTCCTGACTACCTTGGAAGAGACTTGTAAAGCGCTGAACCTCAGCTTCCTCTTTTGCAAAAGGGACTCAGGTGACCAACCACCGGCCTCCGGGCTCTGACTGAGTAGCAGATGAGAACTTATAGAGAGAAGGTACTTTATAACCTGGGGCCTTCGGAAAAGTCTCCACTGGGTGCCGGCTGGGGTCAGGTGCCCTGAGTCCTAGGCCTTCTTCTGCTCAACACGCCTTTAATGGGCACCTTCTGTGTACCATGCACTGTTCTAGTTCTCAAGGGAAACAGCTTTGAAAAATACAGACGGAATCCCTGCCAGTCATCCACAGGTGATAAAGAGAAGAAAGAGTACTAGAGGCCATGTGTGGACGGTGCAACAGAGAATAACAGGGAGGTGGGGCCTGTGGTTGGCCAAAGAAAGGCCCCTCCAAAGATGCCCACAGCCTGACCCCTGGAACCTGCAGATGTTACTTTATGTGGCAAAGAGGGATGAAATTAAGGCTGCTGATCAGTTCACCCTGAGGTGGGGATGATCCTGGATTCCCCGGGGGCCCAGTGTCATCACGGTGTCCTTATAAGAGGGAGGTGGGAGGGTCAGAGGCAGAGAGAAATGGGAGGTACTGGGCTGCTGACTGTGAGGATGGAGGGAGGGGCTGTGAGCCAGGGATGAGGCGCCTCTAGAAACTAGAAAAGGCAGGAACTGGTGCTTCCCAGGAGCCTCCGGAGGGACCAGCCCTGCCCACGCCTGGGTTTAGCCGTGTGAGGCCTGAGCTGGACTCCTGATCTGCAGGATTGTGAGAGAATCAATGTGTGTGGTTTGAGCACTAGGTTTGTGGCAATCTGTGGCAGCACCCCTGGGAGCCCTACGCAGGGTCTTTGCAGATTTGAAGAGGAAGTGGGCGGAGGCCTCTGCGGAGCTGTGTGCCCGCTCTGGGGGCTGGAAGGGGGAGGGGGCCTTGATCCCCGCAGTATCTGCCATCAGTATCAGCGGCAGTGCAGGGGAGGAGCCCAAAATCTGTTTGTCCCGGGCAACAGAGAGAGACCCTCCTCTCCAGAGCCCCTAGCAGGCCTTAACCCAAATTTACCATGAAGTTCTTAACCCAGGCGGTGGGGTGGTGGCTGGGGTTGCCAGGGCCTCTCTTCAGGATCAGAGGCAGCCCAGCTCCTCCCCGCCCCACCCCATGGAGAGAGCTTTGCCCCCACAGACACATGGGACAAGTCCCGTCCCCTCCCAGGCTGGGGGATGCTGAACACTGCTTTGGGTGAGACTGAGCCAAGCCCCCTGAAGGAAGCAGCTAAACTCATAGGAGGACAGGGAGGGGGGCGAATAGATGCTGCTGGCAGCGGGCCCCTCTGGCCCCTCCCCCTCCCCCAACACAACTGGGGCCAGAGGGACCCAGGGCAGTGTTGTTTGGTGGGCCCTCAAAGTGCTCCCTGATCAGGCTTCCAGATGGACTTGGGAGGTGGGGCCCAGCCCCAAGCAGCACCCAGCCCTCTGAGGCCCATTTTTGGGGACACACTGCTGACCCCTTCAGGACTGGTGTATCCTTCGTCCTAGATCTGGCCCTTCCGGGACTTTCATCCACGACAATTCATTAAGCCCTAATTAGTCTCTGTCAGCCATTAGTCCCTTTTACCCTTCAGGGGGCTGGGGGGGGCCTCCCGACCCACTTTCCTTGACCGCCTTTGGCAGGTGAGGCCTCTAGAACCACATTTTGAATGTCTACCGTCTACCACAGCCACTCAGCCGCTAGCCTAGCCCAGCCCCAAAGGTGGGATCAGTGAAGCCCACTTGGAGAACATGAGACTGAGGGTCAGAGTGGTCCCCAGTTCACCTGGCAGCACTCAGCTTGAGAGTCAACATTTGAACCCTCGTCCAATGCCAGCTCCCTTTCACTGAATCCCAGAGCCCTATGGGAAGGTCCTCTTCAGAGGGCCAGGATTGACACATGGTGGTGGGCAGCTCGCCCCGGGCCCACCTGGAATGAGCTTTGCTTGGAGAGTTCTCAGAGAGGCTCTCTACCTGGTGAGTAGGTGATGACTCAGGGGCACCCGAGAATGACAGCCTTGTGGGAAGAGAAATCAAGCTGACGCCTGAGATCTACTTTATATTCCCACTCAGCAAGGTACCTTCAGATCCCAGGCGTCCTGTGGGGGTGGCTCCCAGCCACCCCCATTCTACAGATGAGCACGCTGAGGCCAAGCTGCTGTGTTAACAGTGGGGATGATCATGGCTGCCCTGCCATCACACGATATCTAGCTCATGGCAGCCCCATGCTGGGGGCGCAATGCACCTGCATATCTTACACCCTGCTCCGATGTCCATCTCAGAACTGGAGCTCACAGAAGGGCTGTCCTTTGTCAGAAGTCACCAGTGAGGATGGGGAACAGAGAGGCAGGCTGAGGAAGTCTGGCTTTAGCCCTTCCGAGCCCTCATCCCATGGTGGGCAGCCCCTTCCCACCACTCCATGCCATCCCGGTAGAAGGAGAAGGAGCCGCACCTGTGGGGGAAGCCGACGGGGTCTTCCAACTCAGATCCTGTCTCAGATGCCTGCCACTCTGGCTCAGAGGGGGAATGGAGCAAGGCAGGACGCTCACAGCCCGACGGCTCCTGACCTGTCCCTGCCTGCCCTCACCTTGTTTCCACCAACCTCACCCACAGAGACCCCATGTCCTCTGCCTCTGGGTAGTCACACACCACAGCCTTCCCAGCCTCCACACCTCCTCCAGGGAGCCCTCCTGTGTTGCTCCAGGTTTTAGAGCCCTACTCTCCCTGAAAGTTCTCCCCCCCCCAACAAACCCCAGATGGTCCCTCTGTCTGCTGCCATGCTGCCGCAGACACCCCCTCCCCACGCCCCCGCCAGAAGCAAGAAGTTCTCAACCATCTCTCTACAAACGTGGATTCATCAGGGACTGCCTGTTAACAATGCAGGCTCCTGGGCACGAACCCCAGAAGTCCTGATTCCTCAGAACTGGGGGGCTGGGGTGCCTGTACTGTTAGAGCCTGGGGCACATGGTTTGGAAAATAAGGACCAGGTCTTTTCCTGCACTGGGATCAAGCACAAGGTGCTGCCCTCCCCAACTTGTTGAATGGGGCTTAGTGGCCTCACCGGCCAGGCCCTGGGGGGCACCTATGCCAAGCTTCAGGGGACGAAGAGAAGCCCCCACCCCACCCTTGCTGCTGACTGGACACAGGCCCGCGGGGCAGGGGGCCTGGCCCTGTGCTCCCAAATCTTCCCACCTGGCTGGACTGTCCCCAGCCCAGCGATGCAGCAGGTCCTGGTGTCAACGCCTTTTGCGCCTTCCGGGCGCAGCCCCCCAGGCTGGACCAGACCTCGCCGGAAGGGAGGGCGAAAAGGCTCCGGACCCGACTGTCCCCGATTCCCAGACCCAGCCAGTGCTCCATCCTAACCCCCTTTGGAGGGGAGCGCTTGCCTCCAGGCGTCCCCACTGCCTCCAGAGAGACGACCACCCGGCTCCTTGCTCCTCGGCGTCCCGGGGAGGGACAGGGGGACCTCAGCATGGCGAGTGGCCCCCCAAAGTTTCCAGGGGGAGCGCTGGGGGCCTGACGAGGAGCAATGCACCCGGGAGGGGCGCTCAGGGAGAGTGGCCCCCCAGGCGAGGATCGGGGGCGCGGTTGGGGGCTACGGCGCGCAGGTGGTGCGGGGTCACCGGACCCAGCGCGGACACTCACCTGGGCGGCTCCGCCGTGGACACGGCGCGGGCTGCGGCGCGGGGGCCGCCCGGAGCCGACAGGAGCCGCCGCCACCGCCGCCTCCCGGGTCCGCCGTGCGCGCCCCCGCCGGCGCGTGCCCGCCGCCGCCCTCCTCGGCGCGCGGGACTGCGCTCCGCCGTGCGCGCGGCCCGCCGTCTGGGGTGCGCGGCGCCCCAACCGCAGGTGTGCTGGGCTTCAGGAAGCGAGGACACGTGCGCGCAGGTGCCGGGACGCGCGCCAGGGCCGCGGGCGGGGGCAGGGCGTCCAGGCCATGGGAGTGTGTGCTGCCCCGCGCACACCCGCCCGCGGTGGCGCGAGCGAGGACCCCTGTGACCGGGGCCTTTGTGGACCTGCAGAGGCTGCGGTGCGGGAAACGCCGGGCTCCCCATCTGCGCTTGTCTGGCCTCTGCCCCTCCTTTCTGCCCGAACTCCAGGTCTCCAGCACCTGACACCTGGAACCCTGCCCCAGCCTCTTCCGCTCCTGCCAGCCCTCCAGGCCCATTCCCCACGCAGGTCGCAGAGGCTGCTTAACCACTGGCCTCTGGAATTGACTATGTCTCTCTATTGAACCTGGATTCATGTCTAAACCCGGTGTATGTTTCTGGATCTTCTGTGTCCGTGCCTTCCTTCCGTCGCCTAACGCGTGCCTCGGTCCTTCGCCGGAAGGTTCCCTTGCTCCTCTTTGAACACGCCAAGAGGGCCCTGCCGGGGTCAGGACCTTTCTCCTTACTGTTCCTTCTGCCTTTCCCTTCATCCTTCTTGGCCAGTGTGTAATTACTCGTGTTTATGCAGCAGCCTGCTCCATGGATGTTAGTGGAAAGAATGACTCTTACTTTTACATACTGTGATGTATGTAGTTTCCTGATCCCCTAGTACTGGGCCTGCCCGCCATCGGCCCCGTTTAGGGAGCTCATGCTGTGGAGCCTGGGGTGGGAGGTAGATGGTACTCCAGTGTGGGGGGCACCTCCCAAACCCCCAACCATCATGTTAAGACATGATTAGTAGCAAGATTACCGAATGCTCACTATATGCTGGGCTCTTTTTAAATGTTTATTTTGTGTTTATTTGGCTGCACTGGGTCTTAGTTGCAGCACGTGGGATCTAGTTCCCTGACCAGGGATCGAACCAGGGCCTCCAGCATTAGGAGTGTGGAGTGTTAGCCACTGGACCACCAGGGAAGTCCCTGGGCTCTGTTCTTAACATGAGCCCTCTGGTGCTTGCTGCAGCCCCACCCGTTACAGGTGGAGGCTAATTATCCCCATTTCACAAATCAGCAAGTTGAGGCTCAAAGATGCCATCTTTCCCAAGCGAGGGGCTCATGGTGGGCCTGGCTGCTCCAGGAGGCTAGGTGTGTAACCTTGCATGATCCCACCCCAGCCCTTCCCACCCGCTGCGCCCTCCTAGCTGCTCCCATGGTGGCTTGGCGTCGACTCAGCCACCTGTGACTCAAGCAGGCTCCATTCCCAGACTGTCGCGTTGGCCCGAGGCCCAGAAACTGCATCCCAGGAGGCTGCAGGCCAGGTGCCCAAGGGACAAGAGGACGGATCCCTTCCCGGCCTGCAGAGGTCCAAGAGGAGGACATGGGGTCCCCTCCCTGGTGGTTCTCCATCCCCACGGGCAGCCCAGCCCCAACACAGAGGAATCACTGCTGTAGAGGCTGTGTGATCTCGGGGCAGTCACTTTCCCTCTCTGAGCTTCTGTCTCCTGTGAAATGAGGTTCTGGTAACTGCTGACTAGGGCTCTTAGAGGAAAGTGCTTATTGAGCACCTACTGTGTACCAGGTCAAGCACCAGAGGGAGGAGATGCAGCAGGGGGCTCGCCGTGGCCCTGGGGGAGCAGACCAGTGAGACAGTCACGAAAGGGTATGATGGGAAACTCAGCAGAGAGCTGGTACCCAATCTAGGGTGGGAGTCAGTTATGCTTTTCCAAGGAATGGGCTTTTGAGATGAGTCCTGCAGGGGGCAGGGGTAACTGATGTGGTGGCCAGAATTGGAACCCACTTCCTGGCTGTGGAACTGTGGGAGACTCCCCTCCAGCCTCAGTTTCCACATCTGTAAAATGGGGACTCAAACTGTATACCCATCTTCTAGGATTGCAAGAACTCCACTCAGTGACAGAGGGGGAAAGCAGAGCTCTCAGTGGCCCTGCCCAGCTCTCATTCATTGTTCCAGAAGCCTGGCTGAAGGGCAGGATGAGGCCTCGGACACTGCCGGCCTCAGGACATTTGCATGGCTCTTCTCTCCACTGCAGCACCTTTCTCCCAGCCACCAGCCCGGCTCACCCCTTCCTGACTCATGTCTCCACCCCTTGCCTCCTCTGTCCCCTCCCTGCCTCCTCGGCACTCTCCCCACTTAAGACACCATGTAATTTACTGATTTATCCTGTTGATCGTGGGCTCTTCCTTCTTTCCTGCTGTGGAACGGCTCCAGTAGACACAGAGTAGGTGTCCAGTAAATGCTGGCTGAATGAACAAATGGTTCAGTGATGCTGAGGGCTGTAGGTTTTGCACCTGGAAGTGGGGGTTCTGGGGAGTCTGAGTGGGGAAGTGACTGTTGCTGCCTGAAACCACTGTCTTATCATCTCTCCATTCTTGGTCAGTGTCAACCTGCTCTGTATATTGAGAGGGAGCCCAGGAGCATGTAGTAGGCCCTCAGTAACCAGCTAGAATGTGCACATTGGCATTGCTGTTCTATTGCGTTTAGCAGGGACATGGAGGTGGGCTCAGTCACTGAATAGCCTCTCTGGGCCCAGCATCCCCAGTGGGATGCTGCCGTGAGGGCTGAGGTGGGTGTGGGAAGGGGGTGTAGCTAGGGGTTCCAGCCTCCCAGGTGGTGGGGCGGCAGTACCTGGTTGCCAAGGTTACGAACACCTGCGATGGGGATGTTGCCATGGAGACAGACCCCTGGGAGGAGAGGCTGGCTCCAGATGGGGGGCTGTAGGTTGGGCAGGGGGCCTGGAGGTGGCTGCCAGCCCCAGGGGCTTCCCTGGTACCCCATGTCTGCCCCCCCCCACCAGCTGTGGGTACAGCAGGGCCCTGACTCTCCCCATCCTGTGTCCTCGTACCTGGAAAAGCCAGCAGGGGCACTTAGGCAGCAGTAATGATTTCTAAAATTAAAGGCCTTCTCTTCTCTCCTTTCTCTGGCGAGATGTGTAGGACTGGCAGTCGGGGCCAGGGGAAGCAGCGGTCACATGGCCTGGGAACCTCAGCTGTGGCCTATGACAAGTGGCTTTCTCGTGGTAATAGGAGGGGAATCCTGGGTTTCTGGGAGACGAGAGTGTAGCGGGATTGAGGCCTTGGACTGCAGACCCCATGGGCTACCCCATGCTGGGTGACCTTGACTGATGACCTAACCTCTCTGAGCCCCACTAGCCTCATCTGTAATGTGGGAATCATAACAACCTGTCCCTCTAGGAGGTTGACACGGGCCTGTGCTGTTTACAGGTCTGCCGGATCCACGATAAACAGTGGTGTTATTTACTGAGTCAACATTTCCTCGGGCTGTTCTGGTCCCCAAACACAGCTCCTACTGAACAAAGGGGCCCAAAGCTAGCAGGACAAGCTCTGAGGGTTGCAGAGGGTGGCAACGGCCCGACAGCAGAGAGCCCAGTGAAGGCATAGGCTGGAGGGCTTCCCAGACATGGCACTGGGGCTCCTGCAGCTTTTCTGTGTGGCCATGCAGGGGCCTCAAACTGACACTAACTCCTGTCTAAGGTGGGCCCTCAATGGCAGCCCACAAGTCCCAAGTAAGTGTAGGTCCCTGATACGGTTATGATAAACAGTCCCCTCAGGGCCTCTTTGCATGTGCCCCATGGAGCTTACCAAAATTCAGCTCTTTTTTGGTTGAATTGACCTATCTGACTGCAGCCAAGGGAACCCACAGCAGGCACCATCATGATCTAGTTGCAGGGTCCTGGGGCCTGAATCACTTGCAAGGGTTTTCAGAAGGAAATCTTGCAGTAGTAAGCAGTTTCAGATTTTGCAAATAGGGCTCATCTTAGTTCCCCCTTTCTTCTTTTTAAAAAAATATTTATTTGGCTGTGCTGGGTCTTAGTTGTGGCATGTGGGATCTCCAATCTTATTGCAGCATGCAGGATATTTAGTTGCAGCATGCAAACTCTTAGTTGCATGTGGGAGCTAGTTCCTTGACCAGGGATAGAACCCAGGTCCCCTGCATTGGGAGCATGGAGTCTTAGCCCCTGGACCACCAGGGAACTTCCTTAGTTCTTCCTTTCTGACATTTATCATTAATTTCATTTTCCTGTCCTTTCATACTGTTCAGGCTCTCAAGTACAATGTCCAAGATGACACTGGACATCCTTTCCTTGCTCCTGGTCTTAGGGGGAAAGCTATCAGTTTTTCACCGTTTATGGTGATGTCAGCTGTCAGTTTTTCACAGATGACCTTTATCAAGTTGAGGAAATTCCCTCTTTCTATTTGACAAGATTTCAACCTGAACTGAGCGTTGAATTTTGTCAGATGCTTCTTTTGCAGGTATGAAAAAAATGGTCATAGGGTTTTTCTCCTTTCTTGTGTCAATGAGGTGAATCCCATTCACAGATTTTCCAGCGTTAAACCAACCTTGCATTCCTGGCGTTGGCCATACTCTGTGGTCATGACGTACAGTCCTTGGGATCCAATCTACTGATGTTTTATGAAAGATTCTTGCACCTGTATTTTTTTAATTATTTATTTTTAATAGGATAATTGCTTTACAATATTGCATTGATTTCTGCCATACCTTGACATGAATCAGTCATAGGTACACATATGTTGCCTCCTTCTGGAACCTTACTCCCACATCCCATCCCTTCCCACCCCTCTGGGTTGTTACAGAGCCCTGGTTTGGGTTCCCTAAGTCATATAGCAAATTCCCATTGGCTATCTGTTTTGCATATGGTAGTGCATGTATTTCCATGCTGCTCTCTCCCTTCGTCCCCTCCTCTCCTCTCCTCCCACCCTGCTGTGTCCACAGGTCTTTTCTCTATGTCTGCGCCTCCCTTTTGTGTGAAGTCATTTCAGCCATGTCTGACTCTTTGGGACCCCGTGGGTTGTAGCCCGTTAGGCAACTCTGTCCACGGGATTCTCCAGGTAAGAATACTGGAGTGGGCTCCCATGACCTCTTCCAGGAGATCTTCCTGGCCCAGGGATTGAACCTACGTCTCCTGCATTGGCAGGCAGGTTTCTTAGCACTCGCACCATCTGGAAAGCCCCTGGGTCTCCATTGCTGCCCTGCAAATAGTTCAATCAGTATCATCTTTCTAGATTTCATACGTATCGCATTTGTATTCATGAGGGATATTTGTTTGTAGTTTTCTTTTTCTCCAATGTGTTTTGACAGATTTTGCTTATGTTGCCTTCATGTAGCAGGTAGGGAGTGTTCCTTCCTCCCCAAGTTTTTGAAGCTGGGTTAGTGTCATTTGTTCCTTAAAAGCTTTGGGATCAATTCTGAAGTAGAGTTGTCAGTACTTGTCAAGGGTGACCCCAGGGTTTTTTGGACCTGGACAATTCAAGGAGTTGTGGGGATGAATCTTGGGGTGGGGATAGCTGTGGAGGCAGCCGGAGGAAGGGGGAGCATCAGCTTGGGGCACGTTAATTTGGGGTTCCTCTAAGACATGCCGTAGATGTGGATGTGTACTTTGGGGGCGATGGGGGCCAGGAAAGGGAACTCAGAATTTCTCAACAACAAGGTGGAGTCCAAAAGCATATCTGCCCTGGTTTCAGGCTCCTGGTCAGCCTCCCCCCAACCCTTATTTCCCTGCCCCTCTCCCCGCCTCCCTCCCCACAGCCACATCTGCAAACCAGGAATGTTGTTTTCTGACTAGGCTCTTCATTCCTAGGTAAGCCCTGACCCCTGCTGGCTAGGGTCAGCATGGCTGGGCACAGGGTGGGTGGGTGCTGGTTGGGGTGGGGAGTCAGGGGGCCGACCTGGGCTCTGAACATAAGCAGGAAGCGTGAGAAGACATGTGCTCATCAGCAGAGGACATTTATTGAGCATCAGAGCCCACCCCCTCGAAGCTCCCATTCTGATGAGGGGGTGGCAGGGGGACCTATTTCTGTGGCTAGTGGAGGCTCCAGGTGGGATTGGAGCTGCAGGGGGAAGTGGGGAGCAGGAGGGCTGGATCCCCGGGGCAGGGGCATCGTCAGTCTCACCTGGGCCAGCCTGAGCTCAAACCAACAGCCCCAAGGATTGGAGACCCCTTCTCCCCCCCACCCCCCATTTGCAAAGTTGACCAAAGCTTCTTATTTTTACATTCATGTCCACATGGAATTGGAGCCCTCTCCTGTGTCACTGGCCAGGAACCTGGGGGTGGCCAGCTGCACCTGGATTGTCCTGGGGGCTGCAGGGCTCTGCGGTGTCACTGGTGCTCCAGCGTGGAATGAGGGCTCCGGGGGCTGGGGGTGGCAGACCTGGATTGGGAGAGCAAGGGAATCTGTTTCTTCCCACTCCTGGGGCCAGGTAGGCAGGCAGCGCCTTCCCCTCCCAACATGTGCCCCCCCCTTTTTGCATACAGTGCCTTCCCCTTCCAACGTGTGCCCCCCTTTATACATCCAGTGCCTTCCCCTCCCAACGTGTGCCCCCCCCCCCACACAAACATCCAGCTTTGGGTCTTACTTTCTGCATCCACATGATGGGCTTCAGAGCACAGGATGGGTGTGGGGGGTAGATGGTGCTGCAGGCAGCCCACCCCCTGGGCTGGAACCCCAGCTGTGTGACCCAGGACACGTTGGTCGACCTCTCTGGACCTTAGCTTCCTTGTCTGTGAATGGGGATAATGAAAGGGTTTGGGATTGGTGGGGAGCTGAGTGAACCAGAGGTGACTGAACCAGGTACACATCAGCCCATCCTGTCACTAAAGCCATTCACGGGACAAGGCAGTGAGGGAGGGGCAGAGCTGACCGTCAGCAGGGTCGAGATCCTGTCCACCTTCAAGAGATTCTGGAATCTGCTATGGGGCGGGGTCCCGGGGATCTCGGGTTGGTCCAGGCTCCAGCTGGGGTCTGCAGGGGTCTCTGGTGATGTCCCCCAGAGCGGGGCCTCGGCAGACAGCACCTGGGGCCTCTGGGCCAGCACCTGGAACCCGTGGGCTGCGGTGACCATGGGCACGTGGAGCAGGGCAGGTCCTCCGTCTGATGGCTGCAGCCCCCGGCTGGTGCTCCGAGGGCGCTGACCGTGGGCGGGGAGCTGGAAGGGCGGGATCTGGGCCGGGGTCAGCGGGCTGCCTCTTGAGAGCATGGTGGGCTGGCAGCGGGGCTGGCTAGCCACTGGGGATTTATACCGGGGTGGTGGGGGAGGGGAGGGCAATATCAGTGTCACCAGCCAGGTTGCCGTGTCCTCATTTCTCCCTGTTCCTGCTCCGGTCTCCGCCTCCGTATCTGCCTTTCCTTGTCTCCCTCAGTCTCTCTCTGCATCTCCCTATCTGCTTCTGGCCATCTCTTTCTCAAATTCCTTGTAAAATATTAAAATTTCAATATAACGCTCCATGTAAAATATTAAATATTAAATTTATCCTTGTGAAATATTAAAACATTAAGAACAGTCTAACATCCATCTCTGATCATCATCTTCAATCCCGGGTCAGCAGGATCTTTCTAGATCCTTCTCTCTATATATATTTAAAAGCATAGAAACATAAAATTTTCTTAAAAAGGATCATCTTGACTAAATGATGTTACACCGCCCGCATGCTACACTTGTATGTCAGCAAGTCTCAGTGACCTGTCCACTGTGTAACAAACATCCCCCAACATAGTGGCGTAAAACAATGTATTATTCCTTGTGATTCTGTAGGTTGGCAGTGAAGTTCTTCTGATGGTGTCACCTGGGTTAACTCAGGGAATTTGTGGCTATATTTAATCCACCTCTGCACAGACAGCTCTGCCTCTCTGTAATGTCACTTTGTGTGTGGCTGGAGGAACCTGAGTCTCTACAGCAGATCCCCCAATGATGGGCAGCTAGGTTATTACAAACAAGGTCAAAGTGACTCTCCAGGGTGGATGTGGTTCAGTGAACAGGCCCATCTCATCTGCCTTTCTGGGGCATTCCGCCTGAGCCCCCAGGAGGTCAGGTCTCCCTCTCTTGGCCCCCACAGCATTGTTCCCATCCTTAGACTCAAGGGCAAACACCTGTGCTCTTAACCAACTGGGCAGGGTCCCAGTGCCCGGCTGCAGAGTGGATATTCGATGGCTTTACCTGAGCTTAAGAGGGAAGGAACGGGACCTCAGAGAGGTTGGGACACTTGCTGTCAGTCACACAGCAAGTGGGGGAAGGAGACTGGAGCCTTGGGCTTTGTGGCTACAGAGAACTTGTCTGTTCATCAGCTCGGAGGGGAGGGGTGGGTGGAGAGTGGTCTGAAGCCTGGAGGGGCTGCTGCCTCGGGGCAGAGGGTTCAGAGACAAGCCGTCTTGTCTGGGGGCTGGAAAAATCAGGCTTTCTTGAGTTTCTGTCCTGGTCCCTGGCTACCTCGGGGCTCTAAGGAGGTTTGATTAGCCTCCAGGCCTCACTGCTCCCCTACCCCACGCCCACCCCACCCTGGGGTCCAGGCCCCTGGGCTCTCTGACCCTGAGGTCTGGGTCTCTGCCTTTGTATGTTGGTCTCAGACAGTGCAGGCTGCGCAGGTGCAGAGCAGAGTTTCCAGTGCCTGGGTTCTCATCTCTCCCTGCCCAAGTCCCAGGCACCAGCTGTCGATTGCTCCCCAAGACCAGAGTACAGGGGTTGGATGTTGGCAGGGTGGGTGCGCGCAGATTCTAGGTTACAGCCTTATCTGGGGCTGTGACCCCAGCTTGCCCAGGGCCCCCCCGCTGGCCAGGGGACTGGAGGAGGCAGGGCCGCCAGATGGCAGGGAAGTGGGGCAGAGGGAGGAGGAGCATGTGGGGTTGGCTAGCGGCCCCACAGCTAATTCCCGGCAGCAGGGGCTAATGCTGCCGGGCCATGGTAGAGCCCAGATCTCTGAGATAAGCCAGCTGCTCTCCCTTTATTTGGTGGTGACGGTGGAGGACAGGTAGCAAGGGAGTCATCCAGCCGGGTCTCCTTCTGTGGCCGCTTCCAGTGTGTCCCCAGGTGTTGGTGTTGGTGGAGGGACCCCAGTTTACACTTTCCGCCAGGACAACTCATGCTTACTCCCGGCTTCCCCCGTCCACCCTCATCAGTGCTCCCAAGTGACAAATGAGAGGCCTGCTGTCAGCAGGGATGGCCCCATGGGGGTAGGGTCCTAACAAGGACACGGGGTTTATGGAACGAGGCCAGGAGAAAGCCCTGCTCCCGAGGACAGGGACTTGGGACATTCATGATGATGGCCTGGGGTCGCCGGCTGAGGGGCAGGGGTGGGTGTGTCCTCTGAGATGAGCGGGGAAGAGGTTTAGATCACCTCTGGGGTCGTGGGCCAGGTGGACAGCAAGGGTCCATCTAGTTGTTTTTTGTGGGATCATGGCTGTGCTGAGACATGACAAAAATAGACCCAGCTTTGTGGGACCCCTTGGGCCAGAGCATAGAGGCACTGAAAGGACAGGACCTGCCGCTGAGAAGGCTGGCTGGGGTGTCCACATAGGCGGTGGTCCCCGGGGGTTCTCGCCTGCACTATGCACGCTCAGTCACCGCCAAGTCCTCGGCCAGTGCTCAAGCTCTGCCAGATGAACCAAATCCCCATGTCCAGGTTTTACCAGAACACCAAACAAAGCTGAAAGGAAGATTCCAGGGCTCCTGGACACTTGAGGTTTGCAATTTTATTAACAAAACAAAAATGTAAGTTATACAAAAAAGAGTTCCGTTCGGATGGGTGGCCTGGCTGCTAGGCATCCTGCTGCTGGATGAAAGGGTTGGGGATGGCCTCCATGCCGTCCTGCGGGCAGATGAGAACCACCGAAGTGCCCCTGCATACCACCAGGCCTAGCTGCCGCGTGTCCTCTGTGAGCTTGTACTGGTCGTCGGGGTCTGTGGGAGAAGAGGGGCAGCAGTGAGGCAGTGTGGGAAGGTGCCCAGAGATGTACCTGAGTGGGAAGTGGGGTGTGGGCGCTGGGGGGAGGGAAGGCAGGCCAAGCTCTCACCCCCCACCTCCGCTTCCCCCAGTCCGTTGGCAGCTTCTCTGGAGACAGACAGAGAGGCTCAGGAAGAGCTCTGGAGACGGCCCTGTGCAGCCTGCCCTCCTTCCACAATGAGAACACAGCCCTGGGGAGATGGACTGAGTGCTCAGAGGGGCGGTGGGGAGAAGAAAAACCCATCTGCAGGATCTGGGAGTTCCTGGAGGGCCACCATCCACCCCCGCGCCAACGGGCTGTTCCCAGCAGGGGGGAAGTGACAGCACTTGGAGGAGAGCTTACTCTCAGATCACTGCACGATGGGAGAGGCTGAGTTGGGGTGCCACTCCCCGCTCCCAGACCCTAAGGATAACAGCAGTCCAAGCCTGCCCATTCCCTCCTGGAGCTGCAGGGATGGGTCTGGCTGGCTCTGGGCCTGGGGCTGTTCTAGGGTGAGGAGAGGGCAAAAACTCGCTGGACCAGCAAGCTGGGACCCCATGTAAGTGCACGGCACACACCAGCTCATGTGGTTCTCCCAGCAGCCCCACAGGGCTAGGCTGTCCTTTTCCAGAATGTCATCTGCCTGAGGAGGCTGGGCCAGGACCCCAGCAGCAGGACTCTGGGTAAACCCCGAGGGGAGAAAGAAAACAAGAGCGGGCAAGGGGCCCCACAGGGCTGCTCCTCCCATAAAGAGGGCCTCTGCCCGGTGGCCTCTGACACTTGCGTGTGGCCGCATTTACTCTGCACCAGAGTACCGTGTACTTCAACATCGACAGTCCCCGGAGGAGCGAGACCCCCTTCTCTCCTGAACCTGGGGGCTCCGCTGTGCCACACTCAGGCTGAGCTGGAGGGTCTGGGGACTTGTGGAGACGGGAATGGGAAAGGAAGGGGAGGGGACCCTTTGCTGGCAGCAGGGAGTTGACAGACAGGGACAGCAGGAGAGGGGCTAGGACGAGGCCCCTGGGAGCCAGCTTTATCATGGCGGGTGCAGCGCCTTTCTAGCCCCACCAGGCACACTTCAACTCCAGCAAGTGCTCAGGGTCTGTGATGAGTGAATCCAGAAAACACTCCACCCCTGAAGTCCCAAGATGACAGTCTACTGAGCCCCACTGGGACAGTGGGAGAGCAAACACACCTGTCAGCCGTCTGACCCCCCAGGCACCACATTCAGGGTGGATCAGCACGTGGGTGGCGGCTTAGGAACAGTAAGGAAGGCCTGGCAAGGACGTTTCCGCGCCCCACCAGCTGCACCCACCTCGCATGTACTCGATGGTGCCGTCCAGCACAAGGTTGAGCAGCGGGTCGAACCCTTTCAGGATTCCACTGGCTTGTCGGAATCACCAAGCAGAGAAGAGAGATGGACAAGCATAAGATCAGTGGTCATTCTGGGGAAAGTGCGAGCCGCACGTGGGTGTCAGCACATGAAACTGGGGTGTTCTCACTGGTGAGGGGCCACCCTCAGCCAGACACAGGTGTGGCAGCAGCCTCTCCAGGGACAGGACAGATGGAGGACCAAAGGGGGAGCAAGGGAAGGGCTCCTGGGAGGCGAGCAGTGACAGCTGACCCCATACCATCACCACCGCAACTGTCGGCAAATTCGCCTGCACCTGTTTTGTAAACAGTTTAACTGGCGCCCGGCCACGCTTGTTTGTTAAATGTCGCTGTGGCGGCTCAGCTGCTGCAATGGTGGAGTTGAGGAATTGCGACAGAGACCGTCTGGTCAGCACAGCTGAAAATGTTCCCTGTTTGGTCTTCTGCAGAACAAGTCTGCCAGCCCTGCCTGAGTGCGAGGCCCTGGCTCTGCTTCCTCTCCTGTTTACAGCCCTCCTCAACCCTGAGATGGCACCCACCAAGTGGGGTGATGGAGAGTGACAAATCCAATAATATATCTGGGCACTTGGCCCTAGGCGGGCGAGTAAGTCCACACCTGTGGGTCCTCCTTTCTTACTGGGGGAGGCGCTGCAGCAGATGGGTGGGATTCTCAGATGAATCCAACATTCCACCCCCCCCCCCCATGGTGTGGGATGGGACCCTAGATCAGACATCAGTCTGTGGTTAGGCTGTAACAGAGGGCTTTGTGGGTGTGATCAAGGTCCATGAGTCAGTCCAGTCTTAGTGAATCTAAAGGGAGGCTATGCTGGGTGGGCCTGACCTGACAGGTGAGCCATTAAAAGGATGGGCCCTTTCTGAAAAGAGAAGTTGAAAAAATGAGATTTTCCTGCTGGCCTTGAAGGAGTCAACTGCCATGCTGTGGACAGTGTCTGTGGCAGGGGCAGTGGGTAGCCTCCAGGAGCCCAGAGGGTCCCTGGCCAACACTTGCCAGAAAATGGGGACCCTGGACCTAAGATGACAGGCTCCCAGAGACACTCCCTTACTGCAACCTCGTCAGAGACCTGAGCCTGAGGCACCCAGAGTCTGGAACCACAGGTGCTGAGAGATAAAAATGGGTTGTTGAAGCACAGAAAATGAACAGAAGGGACTTCCCTGGGGGTCCAAGTGGTTAAGAATTCATTCTGCAGTCCAGCAAATGTGGGTTCCATCCTTGGTCAGGGAACTAAGATCTTACATCCCATGAAGCAACTAAACCCATATGGAACAATTAGAGAGATCTGGCCTGGAGTCTGAGACCTGATGCAGCTAAAATTAATTAAAAAACAACAACAACAACAACAACAAAACACAAGCACCTTGAGAAGCAGGAGCCCCATCTCCTCTCCCAGAGCTGGCATGGTGCCAGTGTTTGTTCAGATTCAGAGCCTCACTGGGCCAGGTACCTAGACAGGCAGGCACTGTGTTTTTAGCCACTCTGATGCTACCCAGTTGTCCACATCTCAGAGGAGAAGGGGTCTGGATCACCATCTTAGGAACAAAGAAAGTGAAGATCAGAGGTAGCTGAATAAGTGAAACACTGGGTGCTCACTAAGTGTCAGGAACTTGGCTAACAATGTTACCCTTTAATTTCACCACCACTGCTGAGGTAGGTAGAGTTAACAGCCTCTGACAAGTGAGACAGACTCAGAGATGGTAGCAACTTGCCCAAAGTCCCACAGCCAGTGAGCTGGGGCTCTGCCCTGGACCGCACTCTCCACATAACCTTGCATCATCTTTCCAGCCAGTCTCCTCACCAGATCTCAGAGGAAGATGCAGAGTTCAAGCCTCACAGTAACTGAACAAACCTGCCAAGTCCTGACAGCTGCTACCAGAAGCTTATACCAAAGGACCCTGACTTGGGATGCAGAGTCAAACAGAGTTTCCCAGAGCAGCTGAGAGCTGTCTGCCTCACTCAAAAGCAAAAGGCTCATTGTTTACCCTGGAACTACGGTGAACAAGGAGATGAGGTTTGCTTTTAACAGGTGCCTCAGGTGGCTTCGTGGAAATTGAGTATAGGGCCCGGGTTCTCAACTGGGGCAATTCTGCCCCTGCCAGGGGACACCGGGCCATGTCTGGGATGCCTGTGGTCATCAGGACTAGAGGGCTCCTGGAATCGAGTGGGTGGGACCAGAGATGCTGCTCCACACCCTACAGCGCCCAGGACGGCCCCCTACAGAGCACAATGCGGCCTTAATGTCAGCAGTGCCGAAACTAAGAAACTCTGGTGCTGACGGGGCCCGTGAGGGGCTGGGGCAGCCGCCTGGGTGAGACAAGACCCAAAGGAGGCAGAGACCTGAATCCCAGGCCCTGTGGCTTCGGGTGAGGTTTGGGCCCCTTTGCGTGCATCAGTTTCCCCACCTGCAAACGGGGTGTAACCGTTCCTACCCGCCGGCGCCGGCAGCAGGCCGGACGAGTTGTCCGACCCAAACGCCTAAAGCGCGGCCCAGGCATCCGTTACCAGTTCCGCCTCCCGTTACTCCTCGTGGACCTCGTTACTCCTCGTGGAGGGGGAGGGAAGCGGGGCCTCACCTTCTCTGCCTCCCTGGAACTTCACTCGGATGGTCTTGTCGATGTACTTGGACAGGTCCAAGATGCTCTCTTTCTTTTTCTTCTCTTTGTCCTGCAGGGGATGCAGAACGCTGTGAGGCGGGGAGCACGGCCGACTCTGCCCAGTCAACCCCGCCAGCCCCACCAACCCGGCGAACCCCGCCAACCCCACCATCCGCGCCGCACGCTCACCGCCATCTTGTCGCGCCGTGTCGCTATGCGCAGGCGCCGTCACTGCGCCCTTTGTACCCTACCCCGCGCGCATGCGCGAAAGACGCAGGGCGCCTGCGCGGCGCTCTGCGCTGGGGCGTTGCTGGGAAACATCTGCCGACGCCTGTGGCTGGGACCGGGCGACATGGCGGCGGCGGCGGCGGCGGCGCTGGCGCGGCTCGCAGCGGCCTTCCTTCTCCTCGCGGCCCAGGTGAGGGCGGCGCCGACCCCTCTGGCCTCGCCGGCCGCGGTGCCCCGGCTCCTCACCCCTCCCCGGCCCCGCGCAGAACCCCGCCCTGCCCGGCCTGGGGCCAACTTAGGGCATCCGCGCCCCCGGTGTCGGCAACCCGCGGGCCTGGGGCCCGTCCGTGACCTTGCGGGTCTGTCCCCCGGCCCTTCTCCCTTCCCTGTCTGGACGCCGTTCCCAACCATGGATTCCGCCGACTGGGTTCCGCCCGGATCTGAAGTTTGAGGTCCCATTACCCCGCTCCCGCTCCGGCCCCTGCTGGTCTTGTCTCGGAGTCTCCAGCCGCTTCTGGGATGCCCCTCTCTGACTCCGTGGTCTTAGCCGGGGGGCTACCCGTCTCTGACCCAGGCATCCCCTTGAAAGCGATACTACCCCCATTCCCCGTGGTTGTAGTCAACTGTCCTGCGTGGCACCCAGTGTCTGGCGGCGTCTAGAAGCGGCCAGGAGCCCAGTCCTGGAGTGGGGTCGAATCGCCGCCGCATCTTTTTCTCCCTTGACCTTGGCAGGGGAGTTCCCCGCTTTGAGTTGGTCGTCTGCAAAAGGAGGATAAGTGTACAGTGCGGTGTCAACGAGATGATGTAGGGGATCACGAACGCGGGGCATGCTACTTGTTTGTCACTTAATCTCAAGAGTCACCACTGGGGGACAGACCTGGAGATGGTTGATTTACATTATCATGAGTGCATTTTTTATTTTCCAAATCCTCCCTCTCTTCCCAATTCCACAACTCCGGAAATGGTGCCACCCCCCCCCCCAACAGCCCTACAAACCGGGCCATTAACCGTGACCTTTCTGTGCCAGCCCCTCGACCTCTGCTTCAGCCTGCTGGCTTCTCTCCAAGGCCGCTTTTGTCCCCCAAATTCCCAGTTCATTTTCAGCCCTGCAGGAGGGATCTCTTTCAAAGTGTGTCAGATCTTGTGTCCAAATGAGAGCTTTCTGGTGCCAGGAAGCCACTGGCACATTCAGGAGGACTCTGTGATCCGGCTGACAGGAAACTACCCTTTGCTTCCAGCTCTAACGTATTAATGGCACTCTGCTCGCCTGGCTCTGTTTCCCTGAAACCTAACTCCCCCCAACATTGTGTTTCTGGTTTCAGCTTAGGGGTGCCACATTCCCAGCAGCTTTCTGGCCCACCCCCTCCCCAGCTGTTTTGCCAGCCCCTAGTACTTCCTCCAGCCCTGTTCACTTGTCTTCCTCAGCAGTCTGACCCATTGGAAGCAGGGACTTTGAGCTCTCTAAATATTTAGGGAAAAAAAAATATGGCAAAGTGATAGGTGGGCGAAGGGTCACAAGAACACCACAGAAGGAAGGGCACAGGTGGCCTGGGAATGCCTTTCTGAAGCAAGAAGCAAGGAAACCCTGGAGGGGCGTTCTGAGGGATGAGTAGGAATTTGCTGGGTCAAGAAGGTGTTCCAGGGAGAAAGTTGCAGGTGACGAGGGCAGGGCTGGAGGTGTGAGATCTGGTGATTTTTGTTTTTTTAATAGCAGATACTTACTTAATTTTTATTGGAGTGTGGTTGATTTGCAATATTGTGTTTCAGGTGTATAGCACAGTGAATCGGTTATATATATATCTACCCTTTTTTAGATTATTTTCTCATATAGGCCATTACACAGTATTGATCCCTGTGCTATACAGTAGGTCCTTGTTGCTGTTTAGTCATTAAGTTGTGTCCAGCTCTTTAATGACCCTGTGGACTGCAGCCCACCACATTCCCTGTTCATGGGATTTCCCAGGCAAGAATACTGGAGTGGGTTGCTATTTCCTTCTCCAGGGAATCTTCTCAACCCAGGGTTCGAACTTGAGTCTTCTGTATTGGCAAGTGGGTTCTTCACCACTGAGCCACGTGGGAAGCCCGTACAGTGGCCCTTGGTAGTTATCTATTTTATACATGATAGTGTGTACATCAGTCTTATTCTCTCCCTCACCTCCTGCTGCTAAGTTGCTTCAGTCGTGTCCGACTCTGTGCCGACCCCATAGACGGCAGCTCACCAGGCTATCCGGTCCCTGGGATTCTCCAGGCAAGAACACTGGAGTGGATTGCTATTTCGTTCTCCAGTGCATGAAAGTGAAAAGTGAAAGTGAAGTCGCTCAGTCGTGTCCGACTCTTAGCAACCCCATGGACTGCAGCCTACCAGGCTTCTCCGTCCATGGGATTTTCCAGGCCAGAGTACTGGAGTGGGGTGCCATTTCCTTTTCCATCATCATCTGAGAGCTGATGATTTATCTGAAGATGGTGAGGGTCCACTATAATGGCCTGTAGGACGCTCCAGTGGTTACACCTGAGGGAGGTGGAGGCCAGTCAGGTGCTCTGGTGGGCTGTGGAGGCAGCAGCAGTGGGAGCGGCTCCAGCATGGGGTAAAGGGCAGGCGGGGCGTGTGGCCTCCATGGGCTGGGGTCCAGGGGAGTGGACTGGGCTGGTCGCAGCAGGGTGCTGCGGTGTTTGGACTTTATTCCCAGCTGGCTGAGGGTTTTGAACGTCACCCTTAGTGTGGGCAACCAAGGAGTGTGTGGGAGTGAGTGAGGAGGGCACCTGGGCCTGCTCTTTCTAGGACAGACCCCTGGGCATGGTTCTTCATGGCGCCCAAGGGCATGGCCAGCTCTCCATGGGGCCAGAGAATGCCTGCTCACCACCATGAGCTCACTCCCGATCATTCTGTGACTCTGGACAAGGGATTGGGCACCCCCATGCCATTGGTACAAGTTGTGTATATAATGGCAAACATGGGGCCTGTTACTCAGCAGATCTGAATGTGTGGGTGCCTTCTCTGCCCCTCACCTGCCCGTGTACCCCTCCACTATCCCCCCACCTGTCTCCACCCCTCACCTCCCCTCCTCACCCGCCCTGCATCTGCCCTTTCACCCCTCTACTGCCCCCTCCTGTCCTGCTCCCCTCCCCCACATTCCTCCACCTAAACATCTTTTTCTAAGTTTCTCAGGTCTTGATTACCCCACCCTCTCCTAGAACTCACCAAGTGTTACGTAGACTGCTCCCCATCTGGACCCCTTAGCTTCTCTCTAAGCACCCTGGCATGGATGCTGTCAGTGTCATCTTGAAGCATAACTTCCTTTGAAGTTCCTGAACCTGCTGTGTGGCTGTGATGCATTGGGAGGTGGCCTGTCCTTAATGGCTTTTCTCATTCTCCAGACTGGAGTGGGCAGTTCTGGAATGGGGGGACGGAGGGGCACTGAGAGCTCTGGGCCCTTTGGAAGACCTGCTCCCAGTCCTGTACCTCCCCTGGGAGGAGACTGTATCCACAGCAAGACTGTGCTCTCTGGGCTTTGCCACAGGCCCAGGCTGATATCTTAAGGGAAAGCCAGCTGTGCACACAGTGGTGGTGGTGGTGGTGGGGTCTGGGACGTGTGCTCTTGTGCTTCTAAGTGACCTTTTTAAATTAAAAAGAAATGCTTCTAGCCATTCCCGTGTTATACAAGCGACTCAGGGCTCATAGACCAGGGGTCAGCAGACGTTTTCTAAGAGCTTTTTGGGCCACGTGGCCTCTGCTGTAACTCCCTGGCTCTGCAGAAAGCAGCATAGGCTCTGCATTCAGGAACCAGGCAGCCATGTTCCAGTAAAACTTTATTGACAAATACAGAAGGTGGGCCAGATTCAGCCTGGGGGTTGAGGGACCACAGCCTCCCTGCAGTGGCCCAAGGTGGGGGTGTGGCAGGGGCTCTAAGTGGGGCACGGTGGTGGGGAGAACCTGGAAGCTGGGGCTCCTAGTCCTGCCTCAGGTAGAGGGAAAGGGGTTGGTTGGGCCAGGGGCACGTGCAGGACGACACTGACCTTCCCTCCCTCAAGTGCTGGTGGCAGCGCCTGCATACCTGGCTTCTCTGGCACTCCATGCCCTGTAAACACAGCTTTGTCAAACACCCAGCAGATCCAGGTGACACACCAAGACGCGGGGCCAGCTGGCCTGGGGTGGTGGGGACCCCAGCCCCTCTCTGTGCCACCGCCAGCTGACCCTGGCCTCTGTTCACAGAGGACCCGGTCTTCTGAGAGCCAGTATGTGTCCCAGGCATGCTGCTGGGGCCATGGCCCCTGGGGACCCCTTGCTGAGTCAGAGCGCCCCCTGCAGCTACAACATGTTCTGGGGTGGGTGTGGGTCTGTCACCAGCACAAAGGGGCTCCTGCCTGTCATCTCTGGGGAAGATTCTAGGGGGATACTGAGGGGTACAGTCTGTGTCTCACCTCTGGATGGTACAGAGGGATGGACCAGGGAACTGGTGTGTGCAGAGCTGGGGTCCCATTGGGCCCCTCTGATTCCAAGAAGCCAAGGGGCTGGGGTGGGCCCAGGCCCTGTGTATGTGTGGTGTGGCTCTGCTCCTCCTTTCAGCCATTGGAGCCACATGGAGAGGCCCTGGCACCGCCACAGTCAGCGCGCACATCTCCCTGAGGAGGCGTGGCCCTGCCCTCCTTTGTGTCCACCTGAGCAGAGGGCGGGACATCCAGAGCTGGGCGGGGCCATGCGCCAGCCCCTGCCTACTCTGACTCCACCCCCTGTCCAGGTGGCCTGTGAGTATGGCATGGTCCATGTGGTATCTGAGACCGGTGGCCCCAAAGGCAAAGACTACTGCATCCTCTACAACCCACAGTGGGCCCACCTGCCACATGACCTCAGCAAAGCGGTGAGTCCAGCAGGCAGCCTTGTGCTGGGACCCCTCCCCACGGGGCTCACCAACCAAGGCACCTCTCCCTCCACTCCTGCCCTGGGTCCCTGGGGGGGACTCTGCAGGATGCATCCTGGGGAGGGCCCCTGAGGATGGAGGAAGGGCTCTGCTGGGAATCCGAGGAGGGACGTGACCCCAGAGGAGCTCCCAGCCTCTCTGGGCCCCCGTTTCCTCGGTTATAAGTAAAAGATTGGGGCATTGCTGCAGGATGTCCCCTGTCTGGGGCATCCCATCCCTCCCACCATGCTGAGCTGGGGTGGCTGGCCAGAAATCCTGAGACTAGTGACACAGAGGTCTGCCTATCCCTGTCTTTGGGGCGGCCCAGACATGCTGCTCCCTGGTCCGGCCTGACTCCTCCCAGAGAACACGGATGCCCAGTGCCTGGTTTAGCAGGTGGATCGATTGTCATCACCAAGGCCAGAGCTCCTGCCTGCCCCGTGTGGTGTCTGTGATGGGCTCCAGACGCCCCCGTCTGCCTGGTGATTGGGGCCTGTGTGTTGTGTTGTGTGCTGTGTGCAAACGTGCATGCATGTGTGTCTGTGTGTGGTGTGGGTGTGGGCTGTGTGTGCGTGTGTGCATGTGTGTGTTGTGTGCAGAGCGTGGTGTGGGTTGGCCCCCCGACCTTGCAGTGAGGCAGTGTGGGGGTGTCACTGGTGGCCCGGATGCCCTGCGGGGTCCCTGCCACCTGGCTGCCCGGGACACCATCCCCTCTGCCTCTCTGAAGGCCTTCCTCCCTCAGTCTCTCCTGCAGGTGCGGAACTGGACCAGCTCCGTGCTCTGCTCTCCTGCCGACCTCCCCCCCAAAGGCTTCAGCAACCAGATTCCGCTGGTGGCACGGGGGAACTGCACCTTCTACGAGAAAGTGCGGCTAGCCCAGGGCAGCGGGGCCCGCGGGCTGCTCATTGTCAGCAAGGAGACACTGGTGCGGCCCCCAGGCCTCCTGGGCAGCTTGGGGCCCTGGGGGCGGGACCGGGTTAGGGTGTGAGGCAGGGGTCTGGGTGGAGGAAACAGGGAGCTTGGTTTTCCGACTGTGGTCTGGAGGGGGTCGTGTCCCATACCTGTGCTCGGGGTATGACCAGGCCTGGGGAGGATCTCTGAGGGGGGTGGATGGCATGGGCCATGAACCAGCCTCTTCCTTCCTGAGACTGACTGGTGCCCCCAGCCCAGCCCTGGGAGGGAGGGGCTGAACCCACAGGCTTGCCCTCCTGGCCCTGAGGACCCTGACACATGCAGGATCCTCCTGAGGGCTGGTTGGGTGTTGGTGGCTCGCAGTGCCCCATCCAGGGGCACTCATCCTCTCCTGCCCCTGTCCCCACAGGTACCCCCCGGAGGCAACAAGACACAGTATGAGGAGATTGGCATTCCCGTGGCCCTGCTTAGCTACCGAGACATGCTGGACATTTTCCAGGTAGGGCTCCCCACCTGCCCCTCACCATCTGCAGCTGGGCCAGGGCCTGGAGAGATGGGCCCACAGTGCTGTGAACCTCAGGAGAGGAGACCCTGACCTTGCCCACGTGCCAGAGACCCTAAGTTCCAGCCCCCCTCATGCCCTCCTGGCCTAGCCTGGCCTGGGCTGACCAAAGGCTTGGTCGTCTTTGATGTGGGGAGTCGGGTCCAGAGGAGGTGAGCATCAGCACGAGTGAGGTGGGAACAGTCGGGGTCCCACTCTAGGCTCCCCGTCTCCCCACCGAGGGACCCACTGTCAACCTCCCGGCTGCTTCATATCCCCCTGGTTAGCTCGTCCCAGCAGGGCCCACTTCTCTGGGGTCTGACGTGTTGGGAGAGGGCGTGGGGTGGGGCGAGGTGGGGTCTCCCTAGCCTTAGCTCCGTTGTGCTCTCCGAGGCAGACTTTCGGCCAGGCAGTGCGGGCGGCGCTACATGCCCCCAAGGAGCCCATGCTGGACTACAACATGGTCATCATCTTCCTCATGGCCGTGGGCACCGTCGCGCTCGGGGGCTATTGGGCTGGGAGCCGGGATGTCAGGAAGTAAGTGCCCCATGTGCGTGGGTGGGTGCCAGCCAGGCAGCCTGGACACTGGGCAGGGAACCGCAATAGGGGCCTCTATAGAAAGAGAAAGGCAGTATGACACCCAGGAGACCTGCTGAGAGGCCCCCGGGTTCTGGCCCAGCCAGGCAGGGGCATCCCCAGGAAAGTGTGCCCCAGCAGCCTGGGGCAGCCTGTAGGACAGTTGGGGCGTGGCCAGGGCGGCCCCATGGGACCCACAGCCTTTCTCCCAGAGCGCCACCACAGTCTGGCCCAGGTACCAGAGCCCCACCTCTGGTAGCCCTCCCTGTGAAGACCAGAGCTCTCGGCGCCCTCCCATGAGTTCCTGGGGCAGGGTCCTTCGTCAGGGGGACCCTCATACACACGGTGGGCCTGGATGGGGGCCAGGTGCGCTGTCCCTTGGCCTGCCCCTCCCCGTCCCTGCAGCCCCAGGAGCAGTGCCGGCCGCAGGGCGCCCCTTGACTGGCCCGTCTTGCCAGGAGATACATGAAGCACAAGCGGGATGACGGGCCTGAGAAGCAGGAGGACGAGGCTGTGGACGTGACGCCGGTCATGATCTGCGTTTTCGTAGTCATGTGCTGCTCCATGCTGGTGCTGCTCTACTTCTTCTATGACCAGCTTGGTGGGTGCCCTGCCTCAGCCCTCAGGGCGATGTGTGGGGGGTGGAGGCTCTGGTCCCTGCCTTCAAGGAGTGCCTTGGGGCGCCCCCCCCTTTCCTTGGTGCTCCCACCTGCCAGGGGAGTGAGGTGCAGAGCCCTCCCTCAGCCCCTCACTGCCCCTGCCCCGCAACTCCCCCCCAGTGTATGTCATCATTGGCATCTTCTGCCTGGCCTCCTCCACCGGCCTCTACAGCTGCTTGTCACCGCTCATGCAGAGGCTGCCGTTCTGCAAGTGCAGGTGAGCCCCTGGGGTGGCCCGCACTGGCTGTAATCCCAGGGGTCCCACTCTGCCACCTCTTGGCCTCTCTCCTCCCGTCCCCACCTCTGAGGCTCCACAGCTCCCGCACAGCTGAGGACCCTCTCCAGAGCCCTCAGTCAGTCTGGCACAGTGCAGGCATATAGCAGGTGCCCCCTCAGTGCTGGCTGGGGGCTCATGGGGAAGTGGGGATGGCTCTGAGTTGGCCTTCCTCCCCCCACATCCCATTCAGGGTCAGGCCCCCTGGGATATGGGTAGGGGTGGGGGGCACCAGGTAGGGCACCAGGGGGATGGATGGGAGGCTTTGGGGTGGGAGTTGAGCCGAGCCCGCAGTGCTGGGCAGACAGCGCTGTGAGGGTCAGAGCCCTGATGCCCCTGCCTGCCTGCAGGGTCCCCGACAACAGCCTGCCCTATTTCCACAAGCGCCCTCAGGTCTGCACACTGCTCCTGGCGCTGCTGTGTGCGGCCGTCAGCGTGGTGTGGGGCATCTTCCGGAATGAGGACCAGTGAGTGCAGTGCCGCCGCCCCAGGGGGGAGGGGGGCAGCAGAGTGCTGTCCTCAGGCGCTCTGACCTCCCTCGCCTCCCCAAGCTGTCTGACCCAGGCACTTGGATCCAGGCCAGCTCCCAGTTATGAAAAGGCCTGCTGTCAGTCTCTGGACGCAGTGACTGCATGCTGTCCAGGTGCCGACCAGGCTCAACGGATGGCTGCCCAGCCCTAGCTGCCTCCTGGCCTGTCTGGTGCCCTGGGGTCTGCAATTGCAATCTGGGCGGAAGATGCCACTGGCATTGCTGATCGGGTGTGGAGCCATGGGCTCAGCGGCAGCATGGATGTGGCCTGGTGCCACCGGGCCCACTGCTCTGCCCCTGCAAACACCCGTGTCCCCTGTGCAGCCTCCCCCCAGAGACAGCCACTGCCAGTCCCCATGTCCCCGCCCGTGCTGTCACCGACACCATCTGGCACTTTCTCTGAGCTTCTCTGGGGCCGTTAAACACTCTTGGCTGTGCTGCTGTTTGAAGCCACAACAGATTTAACTGGCAGAAGGAAAACGTGAAAATATTTGGAGTTCTCTGTACACAAAAAGAATATGAGCTCTCAAGATTAAGTCCCAGCCAGAAGGCCCACTCCCCCACTTGAAATTAGAACAGGCCCTGGTTTCTACCATGTCTCGGCACCCACGCGGCCTCAGTGAGCCTTCACTGTTCCCACCAGTGCCCTGGCCCAGAGACTCTCACCCTGTGCTCGATGAAGCTCTGAAGCTCTGAGGATTAGGGGCAGGGAGGATGGAGCAGGTGGTGGGAGCCAATTTCCTGCAGGGGAGCCCCAGTACTGGAGCTTCATCACAGCATTAACTTGCAAATTTGGAAGTGGCCCTGCCTCCTAGGGCTCCAAACTGTCCTCAGAACCCCAAGCCTCTATTTCCCAAGAGTGTGTGGCACCTGGCTGGGAAGATGGGGTGTGTGTGCGAATTTTGTTTTTCTAAATCATTTAAAAGATAATTTTTGAAAAGAAGTTTGAATCTGTAGTTGCATGGCCCCCCTCCCCCTCACCCCCTGCCCCGTCCTGTGCCCCCGGTGTGAAGGCCACTGCTGCAGAGGAACGGGGCCCTGGCACTTGGTGGGAGGCTGGGCACTGGGTGGCTTGGACCTGGCGGCCTGGGAGGGTAGGGCCTGACCTGTGGAGGCTCTCAGGAGACCCTGCTGGAGGATGAGGCTGTGCCGCCTTCCAGGTGGGCTTGGATCCTCCAGGATGCGTTGGGCATCGCCTTCTGCCTCTACACCTTGAAGACCATACGCCTCCCCACATTCAAGGTGAGGGTCCCCTAGGGTTCAGGGAGCTCTGGATGAGAGGTGGGACCTCCTGGTGTCTGCCTACTGCCCTCCTGCCATGTGGCCTCGCCCAGGGCCTTCTGCTCTGAGCACGGCCCCTTGTAGGTGGTACGGTTTTTGCTTTTCTGTCCCTCTGGCCACCTCGGGCTTGAGGATTAGCACAGGGTTGCCTCGGCATGGCTGCTGCACCAGTGACTGCTGGGCTGAGGGGATCCTCCCTGGTGATGGTGCTGTGCTGGTGAGGTGAACAGAGGAGGAAAAGCAGATGAAACCCCCAGGCAGAAGGATGGGGCTCTTCCTGGAGCACCAGGCTGGCACTGGGACCCCGGCAGTGGGAACCTAGAGACACAGGGAAATGCGAAGATGGGTGTCACCTGCCCAAACTCGGGGCTGGCTGCTCACAGCCATGTGTCTCTTGAGTTTTCCATCAGGAACTCAGAAGTGGAGGGGATTCCCTTTTGGTCCAGAGCTTAGGACTTGGTTCTCTCACTGTTTACAGCCAGGGTTCCATCCCTGGCTGGGGAACTAGAAATCCCACAAGCTGAACAATGCTGCCAAAAAGAAGAGAAGCCCAGATCTTGGCTCTCCCTGAGCCTCGGCTGCCCATGCTCTGACGTTCTCGTCGATGTAGCAAGATGTTCCTTCCCACAGGGAAAGTCTGAGCCTTGGGCCGGGTTGCTGACGCATCCTGGAGGCTCTGTGCATCAGTACCCTGGGCGGGGGCGGGGGTGTGGCAGAGCTGGTGGAGGTTCCCAGGTGGAGGGCAGAGCTCCGGACACCTGGTCCATCTGTCCGTAGGCCTGCACACTGCTGCTGCTGGTGCTGTTCATCTACGACGTCTTCTTCGTGTTCATCACGCCCTTCCTGACCAAGGTGGGCCCTGCCGCAGCCCGCGCGCTGCCCTTGCCTGCCCACACCCCATGTCCCCACCCCAGCCTGCCCATGCCCTGCCCCCTTGGTCCGGCTGCTGCATTTAGCCCCTCCCGACGCAGCATCCCCCTTCTCTTAGAGCGGGAACAGCATTATGGTGGAGGTGGCGACCGGGCCTTCAGACTCAGCCACCCATGAGAAGGTAGGAGTATCCTGCGGCGAGGTGCTGAGTGTGCAGGGAGCAGGGCTGGCGGGTACTGGAGACACTGCCCCTTTCTGCAGCTGCCCATGGTGCTGAAGGTTCCCAGACTGAACGCCTCACCACTGGCCCTGTGTGACCGCCCCTTCTCCCTCCTGGGCTTCGGGGACATCCTGGTCCCAGGTACTGGGGCTGGGCTTGGGTGGCCTGGGGGTCTCTGGGGGTGCTGGACCAGAGGGGCTGGTGGGTCAGTGGGCAGAGCTGGAGCTTGGCTGGGTGGGCCAGGGTGGCAGGAGGTGACCCCACGGAGGCATGGTCCCAGCTGCACAGACCTGCCCCCCTCCAGCTGCTCTGTCCCCAAGGCCCCCACCCTCCCAGGTGGTGCCTCACCAGGTGGCTTCCAAGCTGGGGTTTGCACTGGCCTGAGGTCTCAGTCACCTGCCAGGAGTCCAGAGTGGCACCGGGCCCGCTCCCTCCTGAGCTGGGGAGGAACGCTTGGTGCCCCATCCCTCCATGGAAACCCTGTTGCCCAGCTGGGGCACAGCCAGGCCTCTGCCCACAGCTTGTGCACATGGCCTGTCTCTGCAGGGCTGCTCGTGGCCTACTGCCACCGCTTCGACATCCAGGTGCAGTCCTCCAGGGTCTACTTCGTGGCCTGCACCATCGGTAAGCCCACCGCCCGGTCTTCCACCCACATTACAGCCTCCTCACTTTACACTGTTACTGTTTCTCTTTTCTTTTTGGTTTTCTTTGTCTTTCTCTTTTTCCTTTTGTCTTCAGTTTGTTTTGTTTGCAAATTCATTGACACCAACAGGATGCTTCCTCCTTTTCTGTCAAGCCTGGTGGTTTCTAAGATGGTCCAAACCACTTCTCTTGTCCCACTGGGTCAGCTCTTCAGGGCAGAGTGGAGTTGCAGAGGGCACAGGCCCTGCCACAGCCACCAGTGGGCCAGGCGGACGCAGGCCGGCCTTCCCAGCTGGCGTACTTTGGAGCCACTGCTGTCCGCCCTTCCCCTGGTTTCCTGAGGTGGAGACCTGTCCTCCATGCCAGCCCCCAGGGTCACAGTCCCCAGGCTCAGCCTGTCCACATGCACCCACAAGGTCCTTCCCTTTGAATGGTGTGTCAGATTGTCCTGTAGTTCCTGTCGCTGAGATCCCTAGTTTGTTCAGATTGATCACTTCAGGATACGTGGAGAGTCCACAGTTGATAATCTGGACTCTCCCAGCACAGTCCTATTGCTCAGTAACATGGAGGTGAGGGGCAGGGCAAGTGGTCTGGAGTGGAGGCCTGTGCTGGAGATGAGGCTCTTGGCCTGGAAGTAATTGCACTTGTACAGTTGCAAGGTCAGTACAGTGGTCAGTACAGTACCACACCCTCTGCTGGGTTCAGGCTGACCCTAACTCCTCATCGCATTTGCCCTGTTGTATGCCCATCCTTGCGCTATCCGTGCACGGTTGCATTTACACAGCCCTAAATAACACCGTGTTTATTCTGAATGAGGAGTGCCAAGTGTAGACGCCATCTGACCCTTCAGGGCTTTCATGTGATCACTCAGGAAAGATTTCCTAATTCTGTACGTATGTTACTTTGGTTCAGATTATTCTTCTGATTAGAAGTTTATAAAATGGAGATATCCGGACACCTCTGCAGCTCCTTCTCAGCCACCCCAAGGATTCCAGGCCCTCCCATGCCTGCCCCCCCCCCCCCCCGGTCTGGGGGCTGACCCCTGCGTGGGCTCTTGCCTGCCCCAGCTGGGCGGTGGGGCATGTCCTGGAAGGTGGGGAGGATCGACCCCTGCTGCGTCACAGTCACCATGGGGTGACACGCTGCCCGTCTCTGTCCTCGCAGCCTACGGCATCGGGCTCCTGGTGACGTTTATGGCGCTGGCCCTCATGCAGCGTGGCCAGCCCGCCCTCCTCTACCTCGTGCCCTGCACGCTCGTCACCAGCTGCGCCCTGGCGCTCTGGCGCAGGGAGCTGGGCGTATTCTGGACGGGCGGCGGGTTTGCGGTGAATACCAGTTTGCTATGACTGTCTGCGAGCAGTAATAGCCTAATAAGCCCTAACTAGAGTTAAAGTTGAGTAAGCCCTCCTAGCCTCACACCTAAATCCCACAGCCCCCGTCCCGGGTGTTGGGTTTCCTCCCCTCCTACCACTGCCCAGGTGGGGAGGCATGCGGAGAGGGATACCTGTGTGGGTGTCGCTGGGAAGCGGGTTTCCACTTGGGCTTCTTGCTGCTTTGGGGTGGGCTAGGCCCAGGTTGGGCCCTGTACTTGTCTGAAACCATAGAGGAGTGGGACGGAGGCCATGCCCTGTGCAGGACGGGCCGTTGTAGTCCTGGAACTCAGGGATGGATGGCTGGCCCCTTGGGAAACCCCCTCCATCCCCGGGGCATCTGTCTCCCGGGCCTCCCGCTCCCCCTTCAGTCCGCCTGCAATTGGACCCTCCCCCAGGCTCTCAGGAAGGCCTCCGGGGCTCAGTGCCCACCCTCCTCAGAGCTCTCACTCCCCAGGGCCTGGCCCGGCCCAGAGCGGGTGGGTGCTGGAAGGTTCCCGACGGAGAACAAGCCAGAGCAGTCAGGTCGCGCCGTCCCGGGGCCCCGGTGGTGGTGCAGGTCTCAGCGCAGCCCCTCTCCCGGTCTGAGCCCACCCTCGGGGGCTCCCCTGCCCTCCCGTCAACCCCGCTGCCACGCCAACCCGAGGCCTCTTCTTCGCAGAAGGACCTACCTCAGTCGCCCTGGGCGCCCGCCCCGGCCGACGGCTCACAGCAGCCCCGTGCCGACCCCGACGCCGCCCCCGCCCCAGGCCGACAAACTCCTGGCGAAGACGCGGTCCCAACCCCTCCGCCGGCGGAGCAGACCCCAGAAACGTCTGCGCCCGAGAAGGAGCTCGAGGCAGACGCGCCTCCCCAGGAGCCCGAACGCGTCGCGGCCCCACCCGGCCCCTCGGCCTAGGGGAGGGTGCAGACTCGGCGCCGCGCCCCGGACTGGACCCGCGCGGCCCCCAACTTGGTGCTCTGGTCTGGCCGATGCGCACGTCCTCCTCCAGCCCGCCGGCCGCACCCTGGCCCCCAGCCCTGCTCCGAGCTCGCGTGGCCGCGAAGCCCCCGGCCGGCAGAGGCCACCCCCGCGCGCGGTCCACCTCCTGCGCGGTGGTGTCCTGGGGAGGGCAGAGCGGCACCCCCGCCGGTGGCCTCGGACACGCCCAGTTTGGTGCTTACCCCGCTGCTGCTTCCCTGGGGTCGGGGGCGGGAGAGGGAGGGGCTCTGGTCCGCAGGGCCCCCGGGGCTTGGACTGGGGCTGTCGCTGGTTCGGTAGGGTTGGGGCCCCGCGGTGAGCGCACAGCCCCTGTGCTCCAGCTCCTCCATATTTTAATAAATGGCCACGACTTTTTGAAATCTTGGTAGTGTCGCCTCTTGGGGTGCGAGCCCCTCGGACTGCTCCTCCGAAGCAGGGGGGTGGCTGGCGCCAGGCCGGTGGCCCTATTTTGCCTTTCCGCTTAGAGGAACCCGGCCCCCACCCTCGCCGCGGTCACCTGCACGTTCAGCACCCCATCAGTGCACGCACCTGGGCCTCCAGCTACCGCGGGCGGGCGGAGAGCTTCCGGAATGTGGGAGGGGGGCTCTGGAACTGGCTTACGTCTTCTACCTCACAGACAGGGTTCTCTGAACCTCAGGACGGAGATGCCGCCGCCCCCACGTCGGGCTGGCTAGGGAGCCACCGCCTGGACAGGCATCGGGGGCTGTGACATACAGGGCCCCGGCCTACTCCTCCACGTCCACGACGAGAGGCGAGGCCCAGACCCTTCGACCGCACGCCGGCTCCGCGTCCCTCCCGTCCCGCCGGTCTCCAAACCATGATCCATTCCAAATGATACCAGCGCCAGACTCACGTCTCAGCCACGCCTCCGAGGAAGAAACCATGTTTGTTTCTGAAAAAACAAAACCCAGAAGACGTCTTCCACCTGTTTCTGTGTTTCCTAAGAACAGGTGACCCCGCGGTTGGGTTGGGGTGGCGCAGCTGGACCTGCCCCGCCCCACCCCACGGGAGCCCCTGGCCTCGGAGGCGGGACGGGGAGGAAGCCACCGGGCATGGGGGGAGGGGAGGGAGGGTCCGAGCGGACCCCGTCCTTCCCGGAGGACCACGCCTTCCTGTAAGCCATTTTGTACGTCGTCAGTGTTCGAACGCGGGTGGAATTTCTCTCTCTCTCTCTCTCTTTTTTTTCCTGTTTCTGAAATTTGACAAATGTCAAGGAATTCAAAGCGGGATATTAGTTCCTGAAGTTTCCGTTTGCAGTTTCTGCCTTGCTTCTGTTTGAATCTTGTAATTAAACACAGCTTTTGATATTTATTCCCGGGCCTTTGACTTTTCTGTGGTTCAGTGGGTTGGGAGTAAATGGGCGGGGCGGGGGGGCGTAGGGAAGCTGTGAGGGGAAGCCCGTGGTGGGCCCGGCCCAGGAGCCTTGGTCCTGCAGTAATTCCTGTGTGGAGGGACACTTCCTAAGAACACCCGCGGCCTATGTGGGTAGTGCTACCAAAGCCAGGTTTCAGCTTTGCCGCTGGACAGCCACTTGTTCTGACGAGCAGGGCCCTCGTGGGGAGGGGCGAGTAGTAGGGTCTGTTGCCTGCGTTTTGCTTGCCTGTGCTGATCTAAGAAGCAGGGACGGAATCACCCGTGGCAGGAACCTCAGACTGTCAGTAAAGAACCAGGTGGTCATTGTTGGAGCCTTTTAGAGCCACATGGTCGCTGTCACGACCGGTCAACCCAGCGATGTAACCAGAAACATCAGACAACAGCTAAGCAGACAGGTGTGATTGTGGCCAAAAACTTGGTGGACACCAAAACGTGTGTTCGTGTCATTTTCAGAGATCATAACATACTCATTCACAATCAGTTAAAAATATAGAGAACGGACTTGTGGACACAGCAGAGACAGGAGAGGGTGGGAGGAATCTAGAGAGCAGCATTGAAACATACACGTTACCATACGTAAACCAGCTAGCGGGCATTTGCTGTATGATGCTGGGAGCTCAGCCCGGTGCTCTGACAACCTAAAGGGGTGGGATAGGGTAGGAAGTGGGAGAGGACATCTATATACCTATGGCTGATTCACACTTGATGTATGGCAGAAACTAACACAACATTGTAAATTATCCTCCAATTAAAAATAAATGGTTGCTGTTCTGTCATTAAGTTATATCTGACTCTGCGACTGCATGGACTGCAGCACGCCAGGCTTCCCTGTCCTTTTCCATCTCCCGGACTTTTCTCAAACTCAGGTCCATTGAGTTGATGATGCCATCCAATCATCTCATTTTCTGTCCTCCCTTTCTCCTGCCCTCAATCTTTTCCAGCATCAGGGTCTTTTCCAATGAGTGGACTCTTTACATCAGGTGGCCCAAATATTGGAGCTTTAGCTTCAGTCCTTCCAGTGAATATTCAGGGTTGCTTTCCATTAGGATTGACTGGTTTGTTCTCTCTGCAGTGCAAGGGACTCTTAAGAGTCTTCTCCAGCACTGCAATTTCAAATCATCAATAAAGTGAAATATAAGTAAATAATAATGCAAATCCTTTGCTTAGCAAGAAGCTGGGCAAAGACAGGCAGCAGCCCCAGCCATTAAGATCCCTGCCTGTCCATGGGAGCACTGGGCTTCCCTTGTGGCTCAACTGGTAAAGAATCCATCCACAATGTGGGAGAGCTGGGTTCGATCCCTGGGTTGAGAAGGTCCCCTGGAGAAGGGAAAGGCTACCCACTCCAGTATTCTGGCCTAGAGAATTCCATGGGGTCACAAAGAGTCAAACACAACTGAGTGACTTTCACTTCACTCACTGCCCGTGGGAGCACTGGAGTATGTCAGCTGATGCCAGACCCTCCTTCAGGCTTCCAGGCCCAGCTCCTCCAGGCTCCCACCAGGCTGTACCTCTCACCACATCGACAGCAGCATCTAGTGTTTGAGCTCCGAAGCGGACCTGAGCACAGCAATTCTCTTCCACTAAGCAGACCAGATCTTACATATTTCTCATCCATCCACCTGCTCGTTCACTCGCTGGTTCACCGCACGTCTGCTTTGTGCCAAGTCCTCTGCTCAGGCCTGGGACATGTCTGTCTATGAAGGCAGTGTGCCCGAGGGTCAGCAAGGGAGCAGCCCCCAGCTCTATCCTACGGGGGCAGGTGGCAGGGAAAGCTTCCTGGAGGAGGTGACCATCCAGCCTGAGGGACACTGGACAGTCTGTCTGGGGCTCTGATGGGGAGGTGACAGGAGGCTGGATTGTGGCCTGGAGAGGGGTGGGAGTTTCCAGCCAGGTGGGCAAGGTATATCACCTGCAGGTGAGGGGACTAAAGTTCTAGAAGGCTCTGAGGCTGCTCTAAGGGAAGGAGGGAGTGGAGTCAGGGGTCAGGGGCTCCTCCTGTGGAGCTCCAAGGGGAATGCAAGAGGCTAACAGCTCCCTGGCCACCCAGTTGTAGCCTAAGGGATTAGGGAATATGGTTGGTAACCGTGCCCACGAACCACTCGAAAGCAAGCTGTCAGGTACGCAGGGGCCTTGGACCAAGTATGTAGGAGCTCTCCAAACAATGTTCAGGAATCTTTCAAAACTCTGAAACCATTTTACAATGTAGAAGTTCATTTAATAAACTACCCTGGATATTCACATACACACCCCTCCCCCCAGCTCTCTGCTCCCCTCCGCTGCCCTCTGTCCCAGGTCATCTGCCCATGTGGGCTCACCTGCGGAGGCCACACCCTCTACCTCCGCAGCACTGGCTTCCCCAGCTCCCAGAAAATCCCAGGGGCCAGAACCCTGCGCCCCCCACTCCCTCCCTCCGCCGGCCCAGCTCCTTCATGGGATCCACCTGGGCTCCTGACCAGGTGCGCAGGACGGCCCACACCCAGTTGTCCTTTCGGAGCCTCGGGGAGTCGGGAGAGGCACGGGTGGGTCTCAGGTGAGCAGGGGAAGGGGTGCCGCGTGGGGGGCGGTGATGGGGGGAGGGGTACTTTGGGGGCCGGTGATGTAGGAGGAGGGCGGCCAGCCCAGGAGTTGCCCGGGTCGGGGGAAGGCGGTGCTCCCACCTGGTGCCGCCCCCAGGCCCGCCCCATCCCCAAGGCCGCTGGAGTCCCGGTGGGTTGTGGAGGGAGCCGCCGGGTCGCGCTGTGCAGCCTCGGGCTGAGAGCGGTGAGTCTGGGGCCTCCCGATTTGAGGTGGCCGCCCTCTCCCCACGCCTGGGTTCAGGCTGTGTAGACGGAGCAGGTGCGGTGCCGAAGTGGTCCGGCTTGTTGGACGCGTCGGGCTGTGTAGACGCCCTCGGGGAGTGTGAATGAGGCCTTGCTCTGTAGGCGGCCGGGGGCCCTGTGTTTTTCCCGATACTGAGGGCTCCCGGTCCCCAGTGGCCGCTCTCCTGCCTTCCCACCATTAGCTCGATTAAACCCGCGTGGGGGCGTGGGGATGGGGCGGCAGAAAACGGGGTGGGGGAGCAGAGACGGGGAGGTCTCCAGGGACTTGGGGAGGGTCTCTGCTCTCCTCCCTGTGGCTTCTTTCAGCCAGTCCCTTGCTAGGGCGTGAAAAACCGACCAGGATTTGGAGTGGGGTGCTCACAAGGCCTGGGTTTCGAATGGGGTCGTAGTCAGTTACCTGCGGCACGTGTGGTGTGTGAGCCGATTGCGCGTAATTGTGTGGTCTCAAGCGTGGGGTTGCCTGTGGCTGCGTGGGGTGGTGTTATTGCCTGTACGTTGTGTATCTGTGTGACCGTGATTGCACTGTGAGATCCTGTATGATTTTGTAGGTGGTTGTGTGTGTGGACCCCCTCCCAGTTTGCTTGTCTGGGAAGTGGGGATGGAGTCCCTGGGACCCCCCAGGATGCCACGTGTAGCCCTCCTGTCCCACCAAATAGCCAGTCAGGTGTTCTGATTCATTGTGATCTGAACAGGTAAAGAGTCTGCCTGCAATACAGGAGACCTAGGTTCGATACCTGGGTTGGGAAGATCCCCTGGAGAACGAAATGGCAACCCGCTCCAGTATTCTTGCCTGGAAAATCCCATGGATGGAGGAGCCTGGCGGGCTACATTTCATGGGGTCACAGAGTCGGACATGACTGAGCGACTTCACTCTCCCCGTCTGTTAAGTGTTGCTACTGATGCGCCTGCAGTGAGGGACTGGAGGGGCGGACCCCACAGGGCACCGGAGGCGAGATGTGTGTGTGTTCAAGGCAGGATTCTCAAAGTTCAGAGTGTAAAGTGTGGAACTGGAAGAGCCTCAGAGGGAGGCGAGCTGGGTGACCTTTGGTTAAGTCTGGGCACCCCACTCGGCACAGGATTCGTGGAGAAAGGTCTGCTCCTGGTACCACAGACATGGGTGGCAGGAAAGAGACCCTGGGGGGGAGCCCACGGCCACGCACAGGGGACTGTGTCCTTCCTGAAGGAGGATGTGAGGGTCTGGGCATCTGCTTCCATCCGTGGAGTCCAGGAAAGAGAGAGAAACCAGCGGCAGGGAGGCGGGAAGCGCCTGTGGGTCTGTGGCTGGCTCCAGGGGAGCTGGGGCCTGGACCCGGTCGCTTCCCCCTCTCACATCTCTCTTCCTGCCCCGGGGCATGGTTCAGAGTTCTCGGTCCCTGTTCCCACCTGCTCTACTGCTCTACCTGACTGCAGGGCCCTGGGGAGCCATGCGCATTTCGTGATGGAGACCCACCAACAGGGTGGGGGAAATTCCTGAATTCCAAGTACTCTATGTGTGTGTAGACAGGGGGTGGGGGAAGGAGACAGACACCTAGAGAGACACAGGTTCAGAGACAGAGATGCAGAGAGGCAGAGATAGAGACAGAGACACAGAGGTAGAGAAAGAGGGAGAGAATGACAGAGACAGGTAAGAGATGTCTCTTCAAGCCACAGTGTCCTCATCTATAAAGTGGGGATAATCCTGCTGGCCCCCTCCCCGTGGGGGTGCTGGGAGGCTGAATTAATTGACTTGAGGCTGTGAGCCCCACACAGATCTTAGGCACCACCTTTCTGCTCCTGGCTGCTTCTCTTTGGTCATAAGCACATCCCATGAGTGTAACAGTGGTACCAGGGAAACAGCTGTTCCGCATTATCTGAATATGCGTGGCTCTCGAGTAAAGCAGAGGATAACGTGTTCCGGGTGGCTGGCTCATATCTACATCAGGCTTTGCTGTTTTCCCCACTTTACCTCTGTTAACTAAGAAAGGTGATTTCAGAATCCTGTTCATTGAGAAGATGGCACAGGGTCCCGGTACACCCTTCACCCAGTGCCTCCTAGTGTTCAAACTTTGCGTTGCCATAGCATAGTGATTAAAACTAAAAAAACTGACATTAGGCTTCCCAGGTGGCGCTAGTGGTAAAATACCTGCCTGCCAATGCAGGAGATGTAAAAGACATGGGTTCAATCCTGTGGAGGATAGCATGGCAGTCGAGTCCAGTATTCTTGCCTGGAGAATCGCATGGACAGAGGAGCCTGGCCGGCTATAGTCCATAGGGTCGCAGAGTCAGACACAACTGAAGAGACTTATTATGCATGCCTTGGTGGATCAGGGGGTGAGACTGCACTCCCACTGCAGGGTGCATAGGTTTGATCCCTGGTCGGGGAACTAAGATCCTACATGCTGTACAGTGTGGCCAAAAGAAAAGAAAGAAATTGACATTAAAATGAACATAAATACTTGCAATCAATTTTGCCTAGATTTCCCTGGTTTTTGCACTAATGACCTTTCTCTGTTCTGGTATTTAATCTGAGATTCCCCGCTGCACTGAAAACCTGTACTTGTTTTAACTATACAAGTCACAAGTGATTGGAAGTTTCTTTTTTTCATGTACATGTCTGTATCTGTTTCCCTGGGTATTGCCCATGTTTATCAGCTTCTTGCCTCAACCGCCCCCCTCCACCCACAGGCTCTCTGACTCCCCTTTCCTCTGTGCTCATTAAAAAGCTACAAAAACATGAGATATCATCACTGCAAATAGTTCTCTCACAAACACCTCTTCCTATGAAAACCTAACAAAAAGTCCACAGACAAAAAGGGGGGAAAAAAAAAAGACCAAGCTTATTAAATTTCCTAAAGGCTTGCTGAGTGAGTGATTTCGTGAGGTTGGGGCAGTGGGGGAGGGGCAGTGTCCTGGCTGGACGTGAGCCTGCCAAGTGGAGCCAGGTAGGGAGAAACAGGAGAGGTTGCAATGCAGATGAGAGAAGCCTGTTGTATAGATCAGCGCTGGCTGCTGTGGAGGCAAAGAGGGAAGACCAATGGGATGGAAGACTGTCTTGGATGAGTGGCAAGAAAAAAGTTACAAGAGAGGTGGGCAAAGAGTTGAGAGGGAAGAGGGGAAGAAATGTAGGAGCTCGGGAGCAAAGCTGGGGTGAGGTTTGGGTTTTTGCTGAATTTAAAATTTTTTTTTATTTTTTGGCTGCACCACAGGACATGTGGGATTTTAGTTCCCTGACCAGGGATTGAACCTACACCTCCTGCATTAGAAGGGCAGAGTCCTAAGCACTGGACCACCAGGGAAATCCCAAGACTTTGCTAAGTTGATAGTTGACTCTGCTTGGAAAAAAAGTGACCCCAAGACCCTTATTTCCTCTTGGAGAGGCTGGATTATGGTTTGAACCAACGAGATGTAATTGGCTGTTAAAGACAAGCAGAGGAGGGACTTCCCTGTTGATTCAGTGGTTAAGACTCTATGCTACCAATGCAGGGTGCCTGGGTTCCATCCCTGGTCAGGGAACTAGGTCCCATAGGCTAAACCAAAGATCCCACATGCTTTAAGTAAAACCTGGTGCAGCCAAATTACAAAAAAAACACAAGATGAAGATTCACAGCAGAATGGTGTGGAACACCAAGAATATAATGTGTGGTTCCTGAGAAGGAAAACCGAAAGCCAGACAGAAAAGTCCTGGACCCTGGAGTCTTGTGTATCAGTTCTCAGTTGCTATGTAACAAATTCTCCCCAAAGTTCACACAGGAAGACAAATGTTTATTGTTGCAATTTCTCGGAGTGCTTTGTCTGGGGATTCTGGCTGAGAGTCCCTCATAAGGTTGCTGTCTCTGAAGCCCTGATGAGGACAGGGGTTGGAGCTTCCAGGAGGCCCCTCACATGGCTCCTCCCCACCAGGACCTCCCACAGTGCTGCTTGAGCCTCCTTACTACATGGTGGTCAACTCCCCCAGAACAGGCAGGGGAAAGCCTCAGTACCTTTTAAGACCTACTCAGAGGTCTCAGGCCATTGCTTTAGGTATTTTTATTCATTAGGCATGAGTCAAGTCTAGTCCACACTGTAAGGGAAGAGAATTGTTGGTCAGTCACTAAGTCATGTCCGACTCTGCAACCCCATGGACGGCAGCATGCCAGGTTCCCCTGTCCTTCACTGTCTCCCGGAGTTTGCTCAAATTCATGTCCATTGAGTTGATGATGGCATCCAACTCTCTCATCCTCTGTCGCCCCATCTCCTCCTGCCTTCAGTCTTTCCCAGCATCAAGGTCTTTCATAATGAATCGGCTCTTCACATCAGGTGGCCCAAGTATTGGAGCTTCATAATCAGTCCTTCCAATGAATATTCAGGGAAGAGAATTAGGCTCCACCAAAGAGAAGAGTGGCAAGAAATCTGTGGACCTCCTTTAGAACCACCAGCCCCCCATGACCTTGGGCAAGTGTCCCAGTTCCTGTGTGCCTCTGTTTCTTCTTCAGTCAGAATACACTGGTCTTGTAGGACAGTTGTGATCATAGATTAGGTAACACATATAAATATCATTTAGTGCAATGCCTGCCACATAGACTTCCCAGGTGGGCTCCCCACGTGCAGCTAGTGGTAAAGGACACAACTGCCAATGCAGGAGACACGGGGGACGCGGGTTCAATCCCTGGGTTGGGAAGATCCCTGGAGCAGGAAATGGCAACCCATTCCAGTATTCTTGCCTGGGAAAGAGGAGCATAGTGGGTTGCAGTCCATGGGGCTGCAAAGTTGGACACAACTGAGCGATTGAACACATGCATCTATCTGCCGTACATGCTTGGTGACTTACTGCAGGCATTTCCCCAGTGCACTTCCATTCTCTTGAGAAATGATGTATCACCTGGAGCGATCAAACTAGAACTCCCTGGCGCTCGAGGTCAGGGTGGAGAGTAGGATAACTCGCTTTCTTCGTACATTCTGGGCTGTGCTTGTTCTTGTCCTGGCTTCCTTTCCAGTGCTCAGCCTCTTCTTCCAAAGGGACTCCACGTTCAACACATCGGCAGATACAACCTTACCTTCTACTGTCACTCTTGCAGTTTGGCACCGTTTGGGAGAAAACCCACACAGCAGGGGATGCAGAGGGGAAGTGGAGGTAATGGCCTTGAGGGTGTAGACAAGCTCATTGGATAGAAGGCACAAACCATGCAAAGTCCCTGGGGCAAGGCCGTGTCTGTGTGTTTGA